TTGTAGTTGTGAAAAATTGGAAACATGCTAAATGTCCAACAATAGAGGACAGTTTATGTCAGTTATGACACTTACATGGCATGGTTCCCATGCAGCTGTTGTCAAAGATGAAGTAAAAATTGTGAGGTTTTATGAAATAAGGGCGTCATGAGGAAGGGTAGATGTGGGTCTCAGAATCTCCAAGGGCAGATTGGTCCTTGTACTTTGGGATGTTTCCCAAAACACAAAAGGGTAAGAATTTCTTGACCTTGGCTATTTCCTGGGAGCACAAGGTTCAGGTTAAGTTCAACATTGCCAGATAGATAAAACTAAGTGAAAATGATTTTTTTGGACAGTAATAAAAGATTATTAGGCTTTTCATTAATTGCTCTCTTGCTAATGTTTAATTCAAAGCGTTTCAATATTGTGATGGCGTTCTTAGTTGGCTTAAGAACCCCTAGAAACAAGTTTTCATTATACAAGTAACAAGTATCCATTGTAACTCTAAACTATTAGAAACAATTCATTTGAAAGAAGTTTTATCTGTTTATAAATCTCATTGCAATAGCCTATGTGGTCTCCTCCCCAAAATATAAGAGATTACAATGTTCTACATATTAAATACTAAATGGAAACTGGCTTTTTCATTTTCTATATTAATATAGGTAAGGATTTACCTGTTGTATGAAAATTTTCTTTTGAAACAGGTAGTTTTACATTTTGAAGCCTTCTTCCATTATAAGAAACATTTATTTTAGAATATTCTTATTAATACCCTCCCACCCACACCTCTGCTTATTCTCCCCCCTGCCATTTCCCTTTATCTTTTTTCTAGTCTCCAAGTATGGACCTTCCCTATGTCTATCCTTCCTGCTTTTCCTTGACCTTATCTCATTACTGTCTTACCTAATTGCATAGCCTTCTACTGATTATCTCTTTTTGTATCAGTGATTCTTAGCCTTTCTCCCAGCTAACATACTAGAAGTGGGATTGCTGATTCCCACCAGTACAGTGGATCCTAGACTAGTGATTCTTCCCCAAATTCTCTCTGAAAGTCTTGGAGTGGGGACTACTTTGTAAAGCACTCACACTGACCCTCATCCTTATGCCGGTGCCCCACCCCTGCCATCATGAACCTCAAGCCCAACCTCCCTCGCTAGACTAGGTTCACTCCAGTGTTTTCAGTGGCTTTCTGCTATACCACAGATACTTAAGCTATTAATCAAATTTATCAAATTTATAATATTTAACCCTTAACAAACTGTCCCTTTGACTTCCTCATTTCTTTTTCTTTTTTTTTTTTTTTATACAGATGACCTAAAGCATTTGGAAATAAGAGTTGTCCTTTTTTTCTTTTTTTTAAGATTTTTATTTATTTGCGAGAGAGAGAGAATGAGAGACAGCATGAGAGGGAGGAGGGTCAGAGGGAGAAGCAGACTCCCTGCTGAGCAGGGAGCCCAATGTGGGACTCGATCCCAGGACTCCAGGATCATGACCTGAGCCGAAGGCAGTTGCTTAACCAACTGAGCCACCCAGGCGCCCCAATAAGAGTTGTCCTTAGGAAGGAAAAAATAAAGATGTATTTTAATTCTTTTTTTTTTTTTTTTTAAAGATTTTATTTATTTATTTGAGAGAGAGAATGAGAGAGAGAGAGCATGAGAGGGAGGAGGGTCAGAGGGAGAAGCAGACTCCCTGCCAAGCAGGGAGCCCGATGCGGGACTCGATCCTGGGACTCCAGGATCATGACCTGAGCCGAAGGCAGTCGCTTAACCAACTGAGCCACCCAGGCGCCCTGTATTTTAATTCTTTAATTGCTTTCTCTTTTGGATTACAAAAGTCAGATAATACTTAAGGGTATTGAGAAAGTCACCTGTGATCCCACTGCACAGAAAGAGTGCTGTGAACATTTGAGTGTATACCATACCTGACTTTTTCCCTATGTATTTAAACACAAAGTTGTTCTACAGAAATACAGCTTGATAGATGTGCTGGTTTGTATCCTGACAATGGTTTAGAGAGGCAGCATAGCATGGTGGTCAAGGAGCATGGCTCCAGGTTCAAACAAGTTCTACAGACCCTGTTTGAACCTGGTTTATCACTTACTCTCTATATGGACCTGACAATAAATTGCTCAAAGCCTATGATACCTAATCAGTAAATAGGGGGCATACCTTCACTGGCTTGTTATTAAGATCAAGCAGGATCCTGCATGTTGGTATTTTTGGTTTATGGTGCCTGGCACACAGCCTTTCTATATCAGGTTATTTTCTGTTAATGAGTGAATTCTTGTCTGCTGCTATTTCCAGAAGTCCACACTTACTCAGTGCTCATTAGGAAGGCTCTCTAGAACCTGCTTCTCTAGCCGGCCTGTGTCCTCCTTTCCCTCCCTGTCCCTCTGCCTGGACTGCTCTGTCCTTTCCCATCACCATAGCAACCAGGCATCTCCTCACAGGCTCACTTCCTCTGGGGGGTGGCTTAGTGGACTTCTGTCTTCTACCTGGTTAATCATCTAGCCATTGGCATCTGGTTGATATGCGCGACTTAGCCCTTGGTGCTGTGTGTAAGTATGTGTATATACATCACATATCTGATCTTCGGTTTGAATAGTTTTTCAAAGTGTTTTCACAGGTACCACCATTACAAGAACATCATGAGGCAGGTTGGCATCTTTTATGGAGTAGGAAACCGAAGCTTATAGTGTGACTTGCTCATGGTGGCACAGCTGTGAGCCAGAAAAGCCAGGAACAAGATGCTGGCCTTGAGGTTGGGGTCCCAGTTCTCCTTCCTCCAGCGCTTGGAAGTGCTCATCAAAATGCGTATTTGCAGTGTGGAGTTACTAGGCCATCGGAACAGGTTTGTGCCTCTTCAGAGATACTTGGTCTAAACACTAATGTGCAGTTTGCAACAACATTGAGGGAGGCAACTCCATGTGTCAGATGGGGAATTTTCCAAATCTGTGTAGAGTGACTGATCTTTATGCAGTCCTAGTAACTTGTGAAAGGGGTTAGACCAGGTGCTTCATTTTCCAAATCTATTAAATTACTTATTACTTGGCAGCAAAAAACTAGTTGGAATGAAGGCTTCTTAGCCCTTAGAGCAATTTACATTGCCCATGTGTAATATCCCCCTAGAATGAACTTCCTGTCAAGACTTAGTAAACACATTTCAACTAGATATAAAGATTTCATAAGCCATGTTCTTAGCAAAATGTGTTAGGGAAGAATCACAGCTCCCAAGATGTCATTAGTTTTATATTTAGCTCAGATTTAAGGACAGCTAGGAAAGGCACATGTCCATAATCCATAGTCACATTATTAAAGTATAAGGAATAAGCAGCGAGACATTAAGATGATCAATGCAGTCCAGGAGGCCTGTAAAGGGATGTGGTTGGGCACCTGGGTGGCTCAGATGGTTAAGCGTCTGCCTTCAGCTCAGGTCATGATCTCAGGGTCCTGGGATCGAGTCCTGCATCGGGCTCCCTGCTCCTCGGGAGCCTGCTTCTCCCTCTCTCTCTCTCTCTCTCTCTCTCTCATGAATAAATAAATAAAATCTTTAAAAAAAAATAATAAAGGGATGTGGTTAAGGGTTTGTGATATGGCATTCTGAGACCTAGTTTCAGGTTGACTCTCTACCGCTTACTACTTGGAGTAAATTACTAAGCCGCTCTGTGCTTCATTTTTCTCATCTATCAAAATGAGGATTATGAGAGTATTTACCTTGAAGAGTTGTCGTGAAGATGGACAGATTTCAAGTAATATCCTTGGCACAGTGCCTGCCATATACAGATAACGCTTTTTTTTTTTTTTTTTTTGGCCATTTGATACCTTCTGATGCAATACTCCATGTTAGTCATTTTTATTTACTTCTTGTTTGCTTTATAGGCCTAAGGTTTTATTTATTTATTTATTTATTTTACCTATTTGTCACTCAGTCTTAAAAACTAGATAATTTTGAAAACTAAGGAGTTAGTTTAGGACACGTGCTATGTTCTGATGTCTTTCATTATCCCCATCATTTGGGTGCTTGGGTACTTTCTCTTATTTATATAGGCGTGTTACAGAAGAGACAAGTGCTCTGTCAGCAGGGATCTGCCATGGGGTCTGTTACGGTCCTAGAGGAACTGAAGTCTGCATTCACTGTGGACAGTCCTATCCTGAGCCCGCTGCTACATTCTCCAGCTACCCACATGGTGAAGAGCTCCATGCCCATTAGGCTAGATGTCCTAACAGAGCAGTAATCTCAAAGAGCTTTCAACATTTTTGATAAAGAGAATTTGTTGTTGCACTCTGCAGATGAATTCCCAGGAAGCCACACTTGGACATGGCACATGGTAATGGGAATACTTTGACTGTTTTACCATGTGTCTTATGTCTGTCTGTATCCAGGGCTCTGCATTATACAGGAAGGCTTAAGTCAGATAGTGCCTCTATTTAAATCCCTCCTCTTTGCTTCAAGTGGGGCCAATTACTGGCAACTACAAGAGTGATATTCTGCCAGAGCATTCTCATCTTGTTCCCTGATAAGCATAAGGGTGGGTGTCTTGTCACTTTCTTCTGTTACATATTAGATGAAACCATTCCTCCACCTACTGTCCATCTATCAACAAATATTTATCTGGAGTGTCTCAAGTACCCTAAAGTGTAACAATGATTTGTGGTTATTTGAAATTTCTTTTAAGGCTGCTGACAAAATACAAAAATTGCTTGACATATCTGTCTTAAAAGAGATCACTGAACCAAAAGTATTAGTTTGATGTCTTGTTTGAAATTGAATATATATATAAACATTTGTAGTCAATTTTTACCGAAATGATTGCTGCATAGCTCATGGGGATTAAGTGTTTAAATATGAAGTTAACACTACATCAAAAACTAATGATGTAATGTATGGTGATTAACATAACATAATAAAAAAAATTAAAAAAATAAATATGAAGTTAACTCCTAAATTTCAGAATAAACACATTATTTCCAAGGGAAGTAGTTACATTACTGTATTAAATTAACCTGGGACTGGAGCCCATGGCTGCCACACCAAAGCCTGGTGACTCCACCAAGGGGAAGCTCTTGAAGCTCCTAGGAATTTTAGATGTCGAAAACCTTCCCTGTGCACAGGATTCAATGTTGTATGGTTCATGAGGATCTATTGTGGTTGGCCTTGGACATTTTTCGTTAACGAGTAGAATGAGAAGTTCATACGATGTTGGAGTAGGAGGGTTTATCTTAGTGGCTCGAGAATGCTGGTTCCATTGTAGGTATACTTAGGCAAAGCTAAGAATCCAGGAAAGAATTGCCAGAGAAGGAATTAAAAATAAGATTTTATATGAAAGTACCCACTTTGATCCTGAAAGAAAACAAATCTATGGCAACAGCAGCAGTTGAGAAGTCTCAGGCATAGAAAACCCAAATACAACTCACTGCAGTCAGTGTGAACAAGACTGATCTCCACTCCTTTTAACCTTGTAATCTCCAAAAGAATCAGTCAGTCAGTCAACCAACCAATCAATAACCTACCTGGGGACTTTTGCCTCTGGCTAAATTGGGGTGGTCTATAAAAAACCAACACTTCTTCAAAAACAGTAGAGAAGCTAAATTAAACAAGTCTGAAATGCACCTAATTTGAAGACATTAAAGAGTTGCCAAGAAAACCAAGACTCCTAGAGCATAGGGCACTATAAAGTGGTGAGCCAGCATTCCATAACCTGCTTTTCCCTCAAGGGATCTCTCCAATTTTTGGTTTGGCATGAAAGCTGAGAAATCAGACTAAAGATTATAGCCTGGGAGCAGAGAAGGCCGAAGATTTTTTGGCAATCTCATAAGGCAGAAGAGACAAACATCAAAGTTTAGGGATGTTAAAGCAGCTGGGAGTTGAGAGCATGAGACCTCAGAAAAAAGGCAGGTACTAGATAATTAGCCTGATCTTGGGCAGTCTCATCCCTGGAGGCATTTGCCTAATTTTTGTGCTATGCAGGGTATGGAGCTAGGAAGCTAGGAAGCAAATCACTGAAAAGGCAAAGAGCTCAATGTGACAGTCTCCCATTGCTAAGGGTAAAACTGTTGGAGTTCAACATCCATGAAAGACAAGGGAGACTGGTAAACACCATGGGCTTTCAAACTACATCCAAGGATGTGAGCAAGAGAGGCAGACCAAATCTTTCAAATATCAGCCAATTTTGAGTCAACTCAATCCTGAGTTGGATGAAGGTGACCTGACCCATCCCAGGCTGCCTATCACAGCCTAGGATGAACCTTTTCTGGAGGAAGTTAACCTTCATCCAGTTTTCCTGTGACTTTTCAAACATAGTATCTGTAACTCAACTTAAAATCCAAGAAATAGGACTGGAAGGAATAACAGAAAATGTATTTCTGATATCAGAATTGGACTTCAGCTAATTAGGAGCAGCTCATAAGCCCAGGACTCTCAAGTTCTCCACTGTCCCTGGTGCTCTCTCTTCCCTTACTCCCGACCTCATCCATTAAATTACCTTACTTACACTGTAGGCATTTGGATTTGCAACCCTGCTTTATATAAGGTGTATGTCTGTTTTCTTTCTTAGGTGTTTGGTGTTCCAACTGCCACCGTATGGATTTGCACACAAAGGGCTTAGACATATTTCCAGTAATCTGACTTTTGGACTATTTTCATTTAATCATTTTTGAAGAGTAGCTATTATGGTCTTAAGTTTTCTCTTTGTATAGGAGGATGAGTAGAAGGGTTGTGGGGTGAATCTTGATATAAACAGACATGCTTGATTTTTATTTTTTGCTTTAAAGTTTGCTAGTTTTTGAAGTCAACTCTGTGTCTTTGCCTTTGAGTTCTTTCTTACAAAAGAAAAGGAAGTAAAAAAAAACCTCATGAGTGCCTACAGGGGAAAAATAAGAAAAGCAAGTTCAGGCAGGCTTAAATAAAATTACAGTTGGCCCTGTGAGTGGCTTCCTGGGAATGTGCAGTGTGCATTTTTGACATAGACTGCTCACATCTCTCTCAAATGTCAAAGGATCAGGAATGAGATAGGCCTTTGTAAACCAGAGTCACCTTGCTCTCTGTTCCAAGTGAAGACCCATTACTTTAAGTTTCTTTCTTTCTTTCTTTCTCTTTTTTCTCTTTTTCTCTTTCTCTCTCCTTCCTTCCTTTCTTCCCTCCCTCCCTTCCTTCCTTCCCTTCCAGCTTAGCCTAGCCTAGCCTAGCTTAGCCTATCCTAAAGAGGACAGACTCACATTGCAGCAGTATGTTTTCTTTGAAGACCAAATGCTTCTTAAGACTGCAGACTGAAATAATCCAAGAACAGAATTTTAGATGCAGAGTGAGTGATACAATTTACCCCAAGTACTTTGGAATCACAGTGCTCTGGAGCGATATTCAAAGTGTGGTCCTTAGACCAGCATTTGGCATCACCTGTGAGCTTGTTAGGAATGCAAATTCATGGGCCCCATCCAGACCCGGTGAATCAGAATCCCTGGAGTTGGGGCTCAGGAAATTGTTTTAACAAGCTATCTAAGTGATACTTAAGTACAAGCTATCTAAGTGGTACTTAAGTACATTAGTATAGAGTAGTACACTGCTCTAGTGTATGGATAGTAATTCATATAGGGTCACCAGGCAGTGCCAAGCTATTTAAGCTGTGCCTGTGGTGAGGATCTTGGGGCCACATCAAGAAAACATTGCACTGGTCACTTATCCATCTTCAAATCTAATGTAGTTAGGGTCTTTCCTTGGCCAGAAAAATAGTGATCTACTTTGCCTGTTAGAGGGAATTTTTTTTTTTTTTTTAACAGAGTTGGGAAGATCTTGCCTTTTCTATAGACCTTTCCTCCTCTCACCACCAGAAGTTCTCTTGATACTGTATAAAAGGTCTGTTAATTGGAAGATGAATCGAGAGCCTCAGCTGGATGATAAAGCAATCAGGCATTGAGAAGAAATACCTTCTCTTTGAACAAAGAGCAAATCATGTCCCTTTAAGGGGCGCCTGGGTGGCTCAGTTGGTTAAGCAACTGCCTTCGGCTCAGGTCATGATCCTGGAGTCCTGGGATCGAGTCCCACATTGGGCTCCCTGCTCAGCAGGGAGTCTGCTTCTCCCTCTGACCCTCTTCCCTCTCATGCTCTCTGTCTCTCATTCTCTCTCTCGCAAATAAATAAAATCTTAAAAAAAAAAAAAACATGTCCCTTTAAGAGTGACTGGAAGGAAAAATAACCTAAAATGACAGACCAGAATAATAGTACTTGGAAGAAAGAATCAACTTTCAGAAAGAAGATACATGGAGCAGAAAGCTGAACTATTATTTTTTAATTTTTTTTATTTTTAAAGATTTTATTTATTTATTTGAGAGAGAGAATGAGATAGAGCATGAGAGGGGGGAGGGTCAGAGGGAGAAGCAGACGCCCTGCTGAGCAGGGAGCCCGATGTGGGACTCCATCCCGGGACTCCAGGATCATGACCTGAGCTGAAGGCAGTCGCTTAACCAACTGAGCCACCTAGGCGCCCGAAAGCTGAACTTTTAAAGGCATCTCTGTGTGCATCACAAAATTATTATCTTTTTAATTTAATACTATTACATATAGATCTATATTTCTCTCTATAAAGAAATTCTTGGTCTAAGACTTCCAGCATCCACTAGAAAATGGTTTGCTTGTATTAACCGGTTAGTGTGTGGCTATATTAAAAAATGCATCTGTGTTGTGATCTCCACAGGTTAAGTTAATTTTTTTTCCCCTGTGCCTATTCTGTAAGGTTAAAAAAAAAAAATGAAATAGTTGTTCAAGGAGAAGTTTGAGATGATAAATGGTTTTAAAGATCTTACTGTTTTTTTCAGCCCACTCTTTCAATGATTTAGTGAAGTGAAAGAGACTCCTCTTGCTCCCAAGAAAATACCTTCAAGAAGAGTATCTGTATCTACTGTTTAAGAATTGCTGGTCATTTTTAGTAATGTACGGTTTCATGAATACATATCCTCTGTTGACACTTTAGTAGCAGGCAAGTGATTTGGGCAAACTTACTGGTAGCACAATCAAGAAGGAATCTAAAGCGGGAAAAGCTAAAGCTCATCAGTGATTCATCAAACATTAGTGAAATATTCAGTTAGGTTCTTTATGTGTCAAATTGCCTTTTCCCCCCCTGTTCTTCCTGCTCCATCATGTAAAGAATGATTCCATCTGGTTCTACCCTATTGGACTTTGAAATAATTTTGAGAACAAAACAATAGAAACGAAATGAACTTGCACATTTCCAAGAAAGGATGACTTCTTGGAATTGGGTATTATGTCTAAGAGGTTCATGAAATGTTGCTCTTGCTAGGTTGCAATTTATTAAAGTAACAAAATAGTATCCCAGTGAAAACACCAAGTACCTTAAGTGCTAAATATAATGTATAGTATTGTCCTACATTATTTGTACTTAAGCTCAGTTCCAAGTTGACCAAATAGAAAGAGATGCCAGATAGTTTGTGTGAGAGATTTAGCTTTAGTGAAAATGTTCTGAAATGGGAAATTCTAGAGATTTGTTGCCTCATTGAATATTGTGTGTGTGTGTGTGTGTGTGTGTGTGTGTGTGTGTGTTTTAAAGAACATCCAGAGAAGAACTATAGATCTGTATAAATTTTGTTTGTTCAGTTGCATTTGGAGATCCTTTGAGATGTAAAGTTTGAACTAGGAATTTGACATAAATGGATTTACATTCCTTATGACTATGGGCAAGTTTTTTATACCTAGCTTTCTTGTGATGGGATAGCAATAGCACATTTGTTATAGGACTGCTGAGAGAATAAAATGATAATGCAGGTAAAGTTCTGGATACAGGACTTGGTACACAGTAAATACTCAATATATGGTCTCTTATTATTTAAGATACTGTATTATTTGGTATATGCTGAATTTGATATATCTAAAATTTCTTGTAAAAATTAGAATGGTACTTGTATAAAAGGTGGCATTTATATGTCATCTCCCAAGTAGAGAGGCAGCAGGCCATTTGGAATGAAGTGACAGAAATGAATGAAGCCCATGGGACGCCTGGGTGGCTCAGTCAGTTAAGCATCTGCCTTCAGCTCAGGTCCTGATCCCAGGGTCCTGGGATCACGTCCTGCATCAGGCTGCTAGCTCTGCGGGGAGCCTGCTTCTTCCTCTGCCTGCTGATGCCCCTGCTTATGCTTTCTCTCTCTGTCTGTCAAATAAATAAAATCTCAAAAAAGATCTTTAAAAAAATAGAGATGAAGCAAGTCCAATTTCCCCCTGATTGGTAGAAAATACAGTCTTGGGAGCTTGTGGCTGGAAGATATCAATTGCTAGTCTGGAATTTAAATGGGGGAGGAGAAGCAGACCCAGGACAGTGAATTAGTTGTTCCTGGACCTCTCAGAAGCTTAGGAACCATTTGGTTATTTAAAAATT